ATAAATAATTGAAATTTAATAGTCTCTCATAAATAAAAATATATATTATTTAATTATTTAAATATATAGTAGTAATTTTAATTAAAATAAAAACAATTGTATAAAATACAAAATATGTTTGGATATAAAATACTTCAATTTTTTTCAAATTAAAGCTAAAATTATTATAAAATCTTAAATGTTTAACAGAATTCATCGCAAGAAGAAATAAAAAGATAATTTCATAAATTAGCAAAGTTATATCATCCAGATTCTTAAAAATCAACGAAACAGAATTAAGTACTTTAAAAAAATTACAATAAAATAACTAAAAAAGGAAAAATTTAAAGAAATTTCAGAAGCATATAAAATTCTTAGTGTCGAAGTAAAAAGGAAAGAATATGATTAAATGATAAATGAATAAAATTATAAACTTAAAAATAGCTAGTTTTATGATTTTTAAAAAAACGTGAATAGTAAAATAAATAATATTAAAATTATCATGGATAAAGAGAATATGAAAATTTTTATGAAAATCTTAAGCAAAAATCAAAATATTAAACAAAATAAGATTAAGAATAATATAAAACTTACTAAGATTATAAAGGTTTTCAAACTAGAGATTTTTCTATGGATACTATGGCAAGGGAAGGATTATGGGAAAATATGAAAGACCATCCTGAATTATGGATTCTAACGTAATAATACAAAATAATCTGTTTTTTTTAAAACATATTAAAATTAAATAGTGGAATAATGGGTGCTTTATTTATTAGGTGGGCAATTATTGCAAATTAAAATTCTTAAAAATAATCAGGTTCCTTAAAATATACTTCTGATGATGATTTTGAAGATGCTCCTCCTAGAGGTAAAATAGTCCTTAATGAAAAAGATGTTTAAGGATTAAGTATCGAAGATCTTAATGAAATTAATTTAAGTGGAAAATATTCATTACCTCCAAGAATTAAGGCTATTGTTTTGGAATATCGAAGTTTAGGTTAACTTTATGGAAAAGGTGAAATTAATGAAAAAAAGAAAAAAAAGAAAAATAAAATAAAGATTAAGATGATATAAAATTACAAAATATCAAAGAAAAATATGAATGGGAAAACGAAAAAGATTAAAAAATTAATTTAAATTTAAACTAACATAAAGATAATAAAAATTAAACTTGTGAAGATAATAAAAAATACAAAGATTAAAAATAATAAATTTTTAATTATAATTAAAGATTTAATTCTAAATAAGTCGAAAAAGTTGATGATTATTTAAATAAAATAAACAAAGTTCCTGAAAAAAATAATAATTAATTTTAAAAACCTTAATAATTAAATTGAATTTTAATTTTTTATATTTTGTTTTTTTAAATATATGAATAATTAACTTTTTTTATATATTATAAGATTATATATAATTATTATTGATTAAATAAATTTTTAATATAAATTACAATGTTATTTGTCAATTATCATCTATTCTTATTAACATTAAGCCAATCTTATAGAAGAATTAATAAAATCATTTCTTACTTAAAATTATATTTTCATTATTTTTGAAATATAAAAAATTTGATTAAGGCTTTAAATCTTTTTAATATATTTTTATTGGCATTAAAATAATCAATCTACTGAATATTTAAAACATTCAAAAAGGCATTTTTAAAGAATTTAAATTTCAATTCATCTAATTTGGATTTATAAAAAAAAATGTGTCAGCAAAAATTATTTGAAAATAATCTAAACTCTAGTATATTTTTTGGCGAAATTAGTAATAATAATATATGAAAAATAGAATATTTCTATTAATTAATTAGTTTTATTACTTTTTAATATATAATTATATTATTAAATATATTTTAATATATTTAATTTATTTAATAAATTAAATTAAAAATTATTATTTATAATAAAAATTATTTTAATAAAGTAATGTTATTAAAATAAATTATTAAATAAAGTTAAAAAGAAATTTAACGTTTTTAATAATAAAAGGATTATATTCTAATCAAAATAAATAATTTATTAAATAAAAAATAAAAAAAACTGATGGACAATTAACAAAATAAATTTAATAATCATAAAAAGTATAAAAGTGATAAATTAAAGGAAACTTCGGCAAACAAATCTTATTACAAGTCAATAATAAACTCAATATTTTAAAAAGACATATCTTTTAACTAAAATACAACAACAGAATGCTGTGAACACATGCAAGCGATTCTTCAATTACAGAAATAGAATAAAACATTATAATTAATGTCAGAATTTTAGTAAGTATCAATGAAATAAAAAGAAGAAATATATAAGTTACTAGCAATCGAAAATATATAATTAAAATAAGAAAATTAATAGTTGAAAATAAAACTTATAAATTAATCATAACATTCATAAAATAAAAGAAATCAAAAGAATTATATTATAAGTAAATAACTAGTATTAGAAAGTAGTCATTACGCTAATACTTAGAAATAAAAAAACATAAACAATAATACTTCATCAAGATAATTTCATGTATTCTAGGAATAAAATTTTAAATCATATCCTTTAATATATCATAAGTAAAATTTTGAAAATACAACAAACGATATAAACTCTTCACCTTAAGATACAAATAAATCAAAATCAAGAAATTAATTTATTTAAAATATACCTTCTATATAAACAAATTCATTTAGTTAATAATAATAAAGCTTATAATTATAATAATAGACATCTTAAACTAGTTTATTGCCTATCTAAAAACTAAGAAATGAACAAAAAAAAGTACTTTTTGTTCAGCAAACTCCCCTTTACTTAAAAATACGGAATATTAAAAAATTATTGATGATACAAAATCTGGCGATTAAACAACTAATAATATTCGATATGATTAAAAAATTAATTTTATTTCACATTCTACTGATTGCGCTTTTATTACTTCCTTGTTGGATATTTAGTAAAGTAAATAAAAATAAAAAATCAGTATTTAATTTTTATTTTTAAAGAAGATGTAGATAATATAAAAGCATATAATGAAAATAGACAAATAAATACATTAAGGGTTATTATTTAAGACGAGAGATCATTAAAATCTAAACTATCTTCCCTTTCTAAATATACATTTGGAAGTTTTTATGATTTGCTATAATATACGTTATAGACATGTGATTTATTGTTCAATGTAACTTAAAAATTGAAAAGTGTTTTATAAACAATTATCGGAATAAATCTTTAGTTAGATATTACAGAAGCTTTTTAAATAATAGTGAAAGAGATATGCTAAGTATTATAATGCGATAGAGCTTCAATATTTTTAGTTAATAATGAAAAAAGAGAATTATGGACAAAGGTTTCTAAAGGAACCGGAGTAATAAAAGTATAGTTTGGATAAGGAATTGCAGGACATGTAGCTAATACAAGGACTTGTTTAAATATTTTAGATGCTTAAAAAGATAGTAGATTTAACCCTGAAAATGATAGAAAAAGTAATTATGCCACAAAAACTATTTTATGTATTCCTGTAGTGGATGAAGAAAAGGGGTTTCTTTTGGGAGTTATATAAGCTATAAATAAAAAAAATAATGAATTTTTTACAAAAGATGATGAAGGAGTTTTATAAATAATGTCTTTATATGCAATGAATGTGCTAAAAAATTCAATTACTAATGATTAAAACATCAAATATTAAAATGTAATGAAAAATATGTTTGATATTTCAATTTAACTTAATAAATATAATGATTTGCCTAAAATTATTATTGAATCATAAAAGCTACTTAGTTTATATTTAGATACTCAGGATTTTAAAATTTACTTATTATAAGATTCTTTTATTTATACTTTTAATTAAGATGATAGCAACAATTAATGTATTTTTATTTTATATAAATTATATATATATATATATATATTACTAGAAATATAGAAAATTAAATTTTCAGCCAATTGTGGTATTGTTGGATATACTGTTTAATAATAAAAAAATCAAATTATTGAAAATGCATATAATAATGTAAATTTTAATTAATAAATTGATGTAAATACAAGCATGCCAGTTTTAACTTATATCATATGGATGAAATAGAAAAAAAAAAAAGGTATTTTAGGAGTCATAGAAATTATTAATATTAATGGGATAAATATGATTGGAAATAATTAAAATATGAATATTAATGCTTAATTTGATAGCCAAATGAATTTATTTTGTCTTTTATTATCATCAAAATTAAAGTAATTCAGTTGAGAATTAAAAAAAAAAAATCAATATATATTATCTTATCAATATATGTTTATGCTTGTGTTTTTTATTTAAAAATAATTTACCTTAAAAAATTTTTAAATTTATAATAATATTTAATATGTAAATAAAAAAAATGAATATGTATGTGTATATTAAAAATTTTTAAAACCATAGGCTTCAAAATTGGCCTAATGGATAATTAGCATTTTTTAATATTTTTTTTTAAATAAAATAAAAAAATCAAAACATTTTTTGGATAAAAATATTCTTAAAACATCCAAAATATAATAGAATAATTATTTACCGAATGAATAGAAAATAAGTTAAAATATTGATTCAATAAAGTAAAATATAAAGAATTAGTTTAAAGAATAAATCTATTAGAAAAAAAGATAACTTACTCATTAAATATAAAAAGGCAATATATTTATACTACTAAAATTTTATTCAAAGTAATAGAATAAACAATTAATAAAAAATAAATTTAAGTAAAAATAAAGGAATTTCAGCAATCTTTTGAAATTTGAACGCGTATGAAAATAAAAAAGTTGAAACAATAAAATTATTGAATTCAATAATTTATTAATGCGAATAATATATGATTAAAACTTTTTTAAAGAAATTATTATTTTTTTAAATAAGCTGAGTAATATTTCTAAGGTTTATTTAAGTCCTGTAAATTAGAAATTTGTAAATTATCAACTTTATAAATGTGACTGCTTATTAGAAGTTAAAAAGTACCAATTTTAATGTAAATCTGAATATGGGGAAGAAGTAATATTTTTCGAAAAACTTTTAATATGTAACTAAATATATTAATTGCTTTTGAATATATAAATAACACTAAGTATATTAATTTTTAATTATTTTATAGAACCAAACTTGATAAATTATCTATCAGAAAATTATAGATTCATATTTTATTAGGACTTTATAGTTATTTTGAAGGGTAAAAATATTTAAATCTTATATGTGTTTATATGTTGTGAATATATTTTTACTAAAATGGTTAAAAATAAAAAAAATTGGAGAAGGATATTAGAATATAAATGATATCACATTTGATTAATTTGAGGACATGGAGCTAGTTAGATAATAAATTTATTAGAAATTTGATTTTTTAATTTTTATTTGAATTGATCTAACTAAATTGATAGTTTTCTAGTGTTTATCGAATATTCTGTGAATTGAATAAAAGCAGTAGGTTCAGCATTTTTTTAAAAAAAAGTTTTATTTATATATTTTATTGCTTTTTTATGAAATAAATTTTTATTGTTAGGTTAAAGTTAAATTTTAGACTTTACCAAAAATAATTAAAGAATTAAGTCAGAATTTTTTTTAGGAAATTTTAATTATTTTTTTTAATTAAAAAAAATTAATGTTTCATATATAAAATAATAATAAAAAATAAATAAATAAGAAATAATATAAAATCCAAGTAAATTTAAAATTCCACAAAAACTTAAAATTTCCTATCTAAAAAATTTTAGAAAATTCTAAAATTAATTTAAATTATATATTTTAAATTGTTTTTATTTACTAATTTTAGTATGTGATCTGTTTCTAATAGTTTAATTATTTTATAGTGTGTGTAGGCGCATTTTTATTCACTACAAAATATGATTAGTTAAAGAATTTACATGTTGTGACCCTTAAAAACTTTTAGATTCATTTTTATCACTTTTCTTTTTAAATTTTAAAAACTATAATTTTAATATTTTTTTTATTTTTATATTTATTTAATAAATACTTATTATTTTTTAATGGAATTTAAAAATTGTATATAATGTTTTTAAAATTTTGATTGTTATTTACTGTTTTAAAATTTTACTACTTAAATTACTGTGAAATAAAGTTTAATAAAAATATACACATATATATTTTAAAATAAAAAAAGTAGTAATATTTTAGGTAAGTTTTGTCATTTAAATATTAAATTATAGTAATTGTAAATTTTAAAAATAAATAGTTTATAATAATACATATAAGAAACATAAAAAAACATAATCATAAAGACATATATTTAATTTTTCTATATTTTTTCTCATCAATATCATCCTTGATTTACTAAAGTGGTTTATATTTATAAACTTTAGAAGAATCATCAGCATTAGAAGAATAAATATTATAAGTATAATTAAGATCAATTTGGTACATACTATAGTTTTCTACCATCAACATATCATGGGCACCTACAGAGCTACCTCTAATTCTCATATTATATTAGAAAATAGTCTGAGCTCTATTGTATCTTACATAGACCATATCATCCTTAATAATAAATTCTCCTTGATTATTTTCTTTTTCAATTAAAGGTTGACCGCTATTATTATATTGACTGTTATTATCATTAAGCTAGATATTATCATTATTATTAAAGTAAAAGTTTTCAGTAAGATTATTAGAAATTTTATCATTTTTAAGTTTTTTGTTAGAAAGAACAAAATAAATTCTTCCATCAGGTAAAAATCTAAAATACCTATAATAAATTACTTATATTACTGGTGTAAATGTTTAACTCATGCTCTTTTCTCCAAATTTTATATATTTCTCTTTACAATAATAATATCCACAAAAATGGATTCTTGGAGCTAACATAAACATTTTATAATAATTATCAAACTTCTAAAAATATTTTTTGCCAGTTTTATATATTTCATTAACACTTCTTTAATCTCCATAACACTTCCATGCCACTTTTCTTACATCATTATTTATTCGAAGTATTAAATTAGGGTCAAATTAAATTCTATTTGAATTTACATATTTTTAAATTGAGATAAATGGTGTCGGAATAGGTAAAGGTGATAAATTTTAATATAGATTTATACAAAATTTCTTGAATAAAAATATTGGTTTTTATGTAATTAACTCTCTAAATTATTTGCATGTAAATGAAAATTTTATTAACGAACGAGCATCTAAATATTGTAAAATATCTAAAATATAATGGTCTGTTAAATACATTATTATTCCTGGCTCTATTATTTCTTCTTTTAATTTTTGTAATTCTTCTTCTTTTAAATTTTTTTCTTCTAGCATTTTTAACTCTTCTTATTTTTCATATTCTTCTTGATTTTAAATAAGTTCTTAATGTTTTGCAAATATTTACTCAATATATTAATTTGCTACTTTTGGATAACTCATCATATCATTCAAAAGTTTCTTTAACCGATGCTATTTTGTATGGTCTAGTATTAAATGAGTATGGATTATACTAAATTAACAAAATTCGTATACTAACCAAAGCTCATGTTTTGGAATATGGGAATGGTTTTCTTAAATTTTTTTAAATGCTTTTCTTATTTTTATTTAATTATCAGATTCCATCGGAATAATTTTATTATTATTGATATTTAATAATTATTATCTTTTAATTTAAAATTACTTTTATTTTTTTTTATAAAATATATTATAATTATAATTAAATAATCTGAAGAATAATAAAATAATTTGTATTTATTTAAAAAAAATAGATTTAAGTAAATTTTTTTATAATTATTATATAATAATATATGAATATTTTTTTTTCTTAATAAATAGGTAAAATTTTTAATACAATAAAATGTTTGTAAATAAATAAAATTAAATTAAATGAAATTAAATTAAATTAAATTAAATTAAAATTAAATTAAATTAAATTAAATAAATTTAATTTAAATATTTTACATTTATAAATAAGAAAATTCGATTATATATTTATTAAATATTTTTTTTAATATGTTAATTGTAAAAAATCAATTTAGTTTTTAATTTTTTATATTATAATATTTTTTTAATATATATTTAATACATATTTAATTTAAAATTTATAATATATTTATAATCTATATTTAATTCTTTAATTCGATATAAATTATATTATAAATAAAAATTAGCTAGACATATTTTATATTAATAATAATTTATGATTATAATATAAATTCATATTTTTTGCAGCATTTTTAATTTTAGAATATAATAAATTTTTTAGTATCACATTTTTAAAAACTTAAAATTAGTTTATAATTTATATTTAAAATTTGATTTTTTTTTTATTTATACATTAGACAAAAAAATTTGTTTTTAATTTATTAAGACATATTTTAATTTACATATAATTATAATTATTATAAATATTTTAGTATTAATTTAATTTCATTTTTATAAATAAAAGTAATTTTCATAATTTATAATTTTTAAATATATATTAATTAGAAACACGCAAATTTTTATTATTTTTCGATAATGGCTATAGGCTATAAAATATAAAATAATGGAGGAATTTAATTTTAATTTGAGTTTTTCAATTTTGTGATTTTACCCTTATTTTTATTTATATTTACAAATTACAATTAAAAAGTTCGTAATTAATTAGATATAGAAATAACAGTCATGAAATAATGAATAGTTTTTAAAATATATGTATTAAAAAATAAAAAATTACTTTTCTTATATTATATTAAAATCGTATAAAAATAAGATAATTCTTTATGTCAAAATAATTTAACTCAGCTTACAGTTTTTTAGTTGGAAAATCAAATGTTAAATGATTTTTTGTTTTTTAGATTTAAAAAACATAACTTTTTATAAAGCAGATAAAATGAAGGAATCGTTTATCGATAATATCATCTTTAGAATGCTAAAATTACTGATTATAATTTTTATTTTATTTTAAACTATAACATTAACTAAAAGTAATATTTTATATACAGTGTAGCAATCAATATTTTACAAAAGTATTTCGGATAAATTATGTGATAAGATAAATAAATAATAAAGAAAGAAAGAGCTTTATATATTATCTATTATTAATATATTATGAATTGATCTTTAATTTTAAATTTTATAAAAAATTAACTTATTATAATTTAAATTATCTTTAAATTATTTGTCATATATTAAATTACTTATATATATTAAAATAATTTAAAGTTAATAGTTTCTTTAAAAAAAAAATACGATATAAATCGATATTATTAAAAGAGTTTTTTTATATATATATATATATTCAAGCTAAAATATTTTTTAAATTATTTTTATAGAAAATTAAACATAAAAATTTATTATACCTTAATATTAGAAAAAATCATAATAATTCTAAAAAGAAAATATATAAGTTTTATTTTTGATAATAATATATCGTTTGTCGCGCTGTTTAAGTTTTTATTTTTTATCCTATTTTATTAAACTGCTTTTATATGCTTTTTATTGATTACTACTTTCATCATTATATAAAAATTGTGTTTTTAATTTATAAAATAATTAAATATATATCACAGACAATACAGACAACAGTTTAAGATAAATTAAATAATTAGAATTATAATATTTTTATTTTTTTTATTAATAAGATATAGTTATATATTTAAATTTTATATTCATTTTTTTTTTCTTTTTATATCTCATCCTCCATTAATAAAAATTGTATAATTTATTAAAAAAAGTATATGCGAGATTATATATTATTATATATAAGCTTTGTAGCCTATAAAATTGGTCAGGCATAAATTTAAAATAGTAAAATAAAAATCAAGCATTTTAATTTAATGATATCATAATTTTAAACAATTATTATATAGTGAGAATAAAATTCTTGGAAAACATATAAATACGCACTAACATAATTGTATTTTAATCAAAACTTTAATATAATTTTCAAATAAATTATCAATTTTATTTATTAACTATATGTGATAAATAAATCCTCAAATTTTTATAAACTAATTTAAAACAAAAAATTGTAAATTCGAAATAAAAAGTTTAATAAATTTATAAATAAAATTAATTTAAAGCAAAAAAAAAATTAATAAAATATAAAAATATAAAACAAGAAATTTAATAATTAAAATAATGGAATTAAATAAACTAATTATTTGTAAAAAAGAATAATTTAGAATAAATATAAGGAAACAGCAGACTTAAAAGATAATTTAAAATAAAAGAAATAAATTAATTAAAGTATAAGAACAAATACAAATAGATGATTAATAAGTAAAAAGCAAACAAATGAATATTATTTATATTTAGTTATTTTAAAAATAAGATATCCTAATTTATAAATCAATTTAAATAATGGAAACATTATAATAAATAAGAACTTCTAAATTTATTGAAAGAATTAAAACTATTTTTAAAATAAAGTCTTTGTCAAAATTAAATAGATTAGCTTTTAATTATATTAGAAGAACTTAAACAAATTCTTTTAACTCAAGATTCACAAATTATAAAAAAAACATGCAGTGTTCTTATTTTATTAACATATTACTCTTAAAATTAAAAATGTTTTGAATTTTTATAATTAATGAATATTTTATTAAATTATTAATATACAGAAGATATTAAAGCTAAAGAAAATGTAATAAAAACAAAATACATATGTTTTAAAAAATAAAAACAAAGATATATAATGTTATATATAATATATGTGTTAATTTTGATGAAGGTATATAACATTTAATAAATATTAACATTGGTTAAGATTTAAAAGAATAAGTTTCAACATTTCCTTTATCAGATTATTTAATAGAAATATTTTTAGATATAATTAATATAATATCTTCATATAAAAGTTCGAAATTCGAATAAGTATAAAAATAATATAAATATTTATATTCTACTTATAAAATAGTCAATAGATTATTTGTATACATGTGAATACTTATTAAATGAATAAATTGAAAATTATGAAATTAAAAAAAGCAAATAAGTTATAAAATGCATAAGCGATTTTTTAGAAAAAGATGATTGTCAAAATGATTAAATAGAATATTTTACACTTCACTTTCCAGAAATAATAAACCATATTTTTCAAATTATAAAAACCTTTACTGAAATCAAAAATAAATAAGAAGAAGATTTAGATCTTATTCATTTATCAGTGTGTGTTTTAGGAAAAAACCTAAGTGGAAATTTTATAACTACAGAAATTTTAATTAAACAAGATATATATTTTTATTTAAAAATTGCACTTTCAAATGATGATTTTAAAATTTAAAAAGATACATTATGGGGTTTAAGTAATTTGTTTGCATTCAATAATATTTCTTAGTTAGAAGATATATTTTAGGATATGGAAGGATGGGAGATTATTGTTTAAAAATCCAAAAGTAATTAAAAATTAATCAGAAAATATGCTTTTTTATGTATATGTAATGCTATAAGTTTAAAAGATACAAACTTTTTAGAAAATATATTATCTGCAATCAATGAGGTTTGCTTAATTGAAAGACTTTTGGAAGCATTTTAAGATGAATATTATAATAATGTTGAATATAACTTAGTTGAATGTCTTTTTGTACTTGTTAAATACGGAGAAAAATGCTAATTAGAATTAAATTATCAAGAAAATCATATAGTAAGAATTATATAAAGTAAAAATGGTATTGAAATATTAAAAAATATATCTCTAATGGAAATTTAAGATGATGATTATTTATAATCTATTATCGAATATTTAGAGAAATGATATTATTTTTTGTTTATTATACTAATTATTTTTATTTATAATTAAAATTTATTATTTTTTTAGATATTTTTATTTTTCTTTTTTTAAATATTTTCTTTCAGTATTGTAATTTTCTTTTATTTCTTTATTATTTTTCGAAAATTAAACTAATAATTTTTAATTTAATAATATCTATAATTATACTATTGCAAATAGTATTTATATTTTTTTAGTGTATCGAAATTTTTTACTAGATAGATTATGTTGTTTCTTTATCTCTAGAAACTATATTATTTTGTTTTTTTAGAAATTATTTTTTTAACAGTTTTTACTGATTTTTTGTAATATGATGTTAATATTATAAAATTAAAAAATTTATATAATTTTTGCTTTGTAAATATTTTAATGCTAATTGTATATAAAAAAATTATAAATAATCTATTTAAATTTTTTTGTTTATTCAATATAAAAAATATTTAATTTTTATTATCTTTCATGAAAATTTATGTAATATTTATTTACTTTTTTTAGGAAATAAATAAGTAAAAGAACAATAATTAATTTATTCTATTAAAAATAAATATAAATGTTGACTTCTAATTAATTCTCAAATTTAAGTTATTCGGCAGAATAAAATGTTTTTTAAGTCTTTTACTATTGTTAGATAAATATTATCGCATAAAATAAAATAATATAGCTTATGGGAATATTTATTAATAATTTAGTTTTTGAATTATGCTTATATTATATTCTTGAATTATTTATTTATTTATATAGTTTTTTTTATTAATTTTTATTTTTTTAAAAAAATTCATCAACAATAAAAAAAATTGACTTCGCAATAAATGGATAATTATTTTTTTATTTATGTTGATTGTGTTTTTTAAAATAAAAATAAAAAAATAGAAATAGAAATAGAAAAAAATCGAAATAATAATTAGTTAATTTTAAGTTAAAATGATGATATTTCAAATAAATAAATATTATTTTTTTATTTATTTATTTTTTAAGATTTATTTGTTTTCGGGATTAATTATCTTATGATTTGAATATAAATAATATTTAAATGTTTTTTTTAAAAAAAATTAATTATCGAGTATGATTTTATGAATTATTAAACAAAATATAATTTTAGTTTAAATATATATTTATTTAAAATCAGAAAAAAGATTTATGAATAAATAGTTTCTATAAATAATTATTTAAATAACATATTATTTTTTTTATATATATTTTATTTGATAATATATATTATAAAAATTATTTATTAAAGCTTTTAATACGTATGAAATCGACTGATTTTTTATTTTTAAATATAGATATTTTTATTTTTTAAAAATAAATATTATAATATATTAAAAAAATATTTTATAAATAAATTTATAAAAATAGTAATCTTAAATCTAAATATATAAAATAAATTTAAAATGTTTAAGTTATTAATATTTTTTTTATATTATTATTCAATATTATTTATTAATATCTTTAAATTCTATATCTATATTATTGTTTTTATCTAATTATTAAATGTTATTTTAAATCGATTTAATAGTTTAAACTATTTCAGTTTAATTTATTTCTTTATATTTAAGATAAGCGACATCAAGAATATCATTAAAACTAAATTAAACATTTTCTAAAAATAAAAAAAAATCAAAAAGATAAAATATATAAAATAAAATAAAAATAAAATAACAATAAAAATTGATAAAAATATATATTACAATTAAAGTTAGTTGCGAAAGAAGCACTTAATATTAACTATAAGGCTAAAAGAACATTATTATTATCAAAAGATTATTGAATAATTAATAAAAGAACATGAATATTATAATTGAAAGCAAGTTATTTTACGAAAATTAATTGATTTTAGGAATCTTTATACTAACTAAATAAAAATTGTAAACACGTGGATATAAGTTTATTATTTTAAATACTATTATTATTTTTAATTTAAAAAAAAATAAAATCAATAATTTGTAATTCAAAAACAAAATAATTATCTTAATTGTTTAATTATTAATATTAAATTATATTTTGGAAAACTTAAGCTAAAATACTTTAAATCTCTTGATGCTTATTTGAAATTATAAGAATATTTAATTAAATAATAATTTGATATTTCAATACATCATTACTTTATTAATAATTCTTTGTTATATATTCATTTATTATAACATTATTTTAATCATAAAGAATCATCTTTATTAAACTTACTAATATATTATTATTTAACAACATATTATTTTGAGATTATTCATCATAGTTAATCTAATTTGTATATTTTTTCTAATAATAATTAATTCCATTGAACAGTTAAGGGATTTCAATTATTTGTATTTTCTAATCATTATTTTCATTAAAATCATAAATTTACTTTTGTAATAAAAATAAGTATTTAAAAAAATTTTGACTTTATTCCATATTAAAGTAAGTATTTTTTTTTTAAAAAAGAGGAAGCAGCAATAAACAACCTTAAATTTTTTCATTTAAAATTATTCTAAGCTCATTTTATTATTTTTCAAATGAATTTTTCATAAAAACATCTAAAGATTTTACTAATAAACAAATATCCGTTTGTAATTATTCAAATTCTAAGCTATTATTTGTTTGAACAAGAGGCATATTGGTTTCAAAAACATTATTATTTTATACTTTTTAGTTTAAATAAGATAAGTATTGATCACATCTTTCTTATAATCTTTAGTTTTCTATTAATAATTTATTATTTTCTTACTATAATGTTTGTATATATAAAGTTTATTTTTATTATTCAATATAATTTATGTTATTTATTTCAATTAAATCTTCATTTTTTTATTTTAGTTCTTTAATTTATCTTACATAATCAGCTTCTTATTAGAATAAAGAATAATTATCATAAACCTTTTCTTGTGTTATTTTGAATAATTTTTCTGTTTATTTTAATTTTATAATTAATCTTTTCATTTCATAATTAAATTTTACTTATATTTCGTTTTCCATCTATTTATATAAAGATTCCATATATTCCTATTATTTAAATTATTAAAATTAATATATTTATAAATTTTACTTAAATTATTATCATTATATTTTAAGCATCTTTTTATTAAATAAAATAATCAATTTAATGCTTTTCTAAAGATTATTATAATATATTCCTAAAATTGCTATGATTATTATTTTCTTAAAATCTAGTTTTTTCGTCATCACTTAATAATTTTAAAGCTTATAAAACTAAACCAAGAAGTCCTGTAATTTTCGTACAATATTAAAGTTTATGTAAATTAACAAATTTCTTATTAAAATCATCTTAAATAATATTATTAATTTTTTCTTTTAATTCAATAAGAATTTTATCTTCAACTTAATGGTCCTCTAGAACATCAGGAAATTCGCTAACTAATAATTTAGTGAAATATTTAACAGGAATAGTATTCCAAGAATCACAAATAATTTTTTAGGAAGAATCGTTAGCAAGAAAATGTCTTTTAAGGAATTTTATGACGTCTTAGTTTGTAATAACTTATTCAATTTAAATTTAATATTCGTTTATAATCTAAGAAGAACTATTTTTTTATAAAGATGTAAATTCACTTTATACTAAACTTGTATTTGATAAAATGTTATTATTGTTATTAACCTGTTTTTTTTCATTAAATGTATATTAATAACAACAATTATTTTTTGGTGTTTTATTATTATTAAAATTAATTTCTTCTTTGTAATTTCTGGGGGTGTGCAATTTTTTTTATTATTAATAAAGATTTTATTTATTTTTTTCAAAAATATAATTAGAAGATTTTTATTCAGGAGTAGGAGATATACTTTTTAAAGGATATTTGCAATTATTATGGCAGCTTTGTTTGTTTATAGATTTTTATAGATTAGTTCTTTAAGAAATTATGCTATTTTTTCTTATTATTGATGGTGATTTAGATATGCTTATATTCTCATTATTTATTCCTTTACGAGGAGTTATTACTTTTTAAGATTATTAAAGTGCTTTGTTTATTACATTTTATAATGTTTAAGCTAAAGGGCGATCTAAAGGAGACTTTTCAACAAAATAATTAATATTAGAATTATTAATTCGGGAACTCATATAATTTTCTTGATTATATTATGTATTATTATTATCATTTTTAATTTGTTCAAAGTTTTGAATATTTTTCTAACTAAAAAATTAATTCTGTCTTTATGAAGGATGCTGAATTACTGTAGATGTCAAAGGTAAATCATTTTAGTTATAATATTATGATTATTATTTATTAGTTTATTTTTAAAATTCCTAAGTGAATAATTTGGTATTATTTATTGATTGGTAGTTTTATACTATTGAATTTTATGAAAGGATTCTTTGCCTTAATATTCGATTTTCATCTATTTTTTATTATATTTATGTTTAATTTAAATAAAAAAACCTTAATCCATTTAAACTTAACCAGACATTAGTATTATTTTTTTTTAAATTATTTTTCTCTTTTTTTTTTTTTTTTTAAAAAAAAAAACAATACAAATATTTTTTAAATTTTTATAATTTATTTTAATTATTTTTTTATAATATATATAATAATAACAAATATAATTTAAATTTTAAAATAAATAAAAAAAAATGAATTAAAAATTTTCAGTCTATTTATACATTTATAAAAAAAAAAAAATCATTATTTTATAAAGGATTAAGGCCTTAGTTCAATAAACTTCATTCTAGAAGTTAAACTTTTAAACATTTATACAAATAAGGTAAACCAATAACACAACTTAACTTCTTTTTCGTTTTTTCCAATTAAGTCTGATTCTTTAATTAGTATACTATCCCCAATAGAAAGCGATTTCATATGACAATTAGTATTAATAAAATTAGTATTGTTTTCTTAAAATTCTTTGTTTTTAAAAGGATCACTAATAATCATAAATGTAAAGCTTTTGTTTAAACATTCTTTATTTGCGTTTATTTAATTATTATTTTCATCAAAAATAGCTTCATCCTATTAATATTTTGAGTAAAGAATACAATTTCCTTCATACTATTTTAACTCATTCATATATTCTTGTAATAAATTATTTAAATTTTGTTTGTTATTATCTAATAAATCAAACCTTATAAACCTATGACACATATCAACTTCTGTATATATTACTTAAAGGATTTTTTCGAATTCAAATTAGGGGCCCTTTTTTATATTATCTACGTTTTCCTTTTTCTAAACATCTTTTAAAGCGCTTGTATCTGGAGATGTATATCTACTTTTTCCTTAAATAATTTAATTCTAATCAATTTATCTCAAAGGAGATGGATATCTATAATTTCCAGGTTTTTCAGGAAATTATTGTTCTAAAATTGCCCAAGAATGGCTTCCTCCAGCACTTATTTCGACTACGTTTTTACCCGCCAAAGCACTTATATGTGTAAATAAAGTTCTGCTTTCTTCATCTCCTAATCCCCTGTATATTTATTTAATATTTTTATTTTAATTTAAAAAATTACAATTATCCCCATGCATTGTATCCACAAGAAAAAACATCGTTTGTATCAGTCAAAACTAAAGAATGATTCCAACCGGCTGCAATTTTTATAATTTTCTTTTTAGTTAAAGTCCATACTAATTGAAATTCACAATGATTATTTGTAGTTTTTAAACCCAATTATCCATAAGAACCATATCCTGTACTATAAACATAACCTATATTTAATAAGATTAATGTATGATGACCCCCGCATTTTATATCGCTTATTTAAGGATCTTTTTTATAATAATTGTTTTTATTAATAGTTATATATTTTTTTACTTTAATTTTCAAATAATATATTTTCATATAAAATGTTATTTTAATTAAAGTTTATCTATATTAATATTGGACTTAATTCATGTTTAAACTTACATATTAAAATAATTAATAAATATAAAAAATATAATACCTTTCCACTACCTAATTCTCCTAACTCCCCAGCTCCCCATCCATATAGTTAGTTATCGTCAATAAGGGCCATAGTATGGAACTATCCACAAGACACTTTAATAACTTTTTTATTTTTGAAAAATTATATTTATTCAGGAATTTCTATATCTTTCATATGACCCAAACCAAGCTAGCCTTTATTTTAGAATTATCCTCCACCTTTTTTTAAAAAATAAAGTTTAAATAAATAGATATTTTTACCTCCCCATGTATATATATCTCCTTAGTTAGTTATTGCTACTGAATGAAAATCTCCACAATCAATATAAGTAACCCCTTTATTTGTTAGTTGATGAATAGGACCTGGCTTTCCACCTCTTTACCCCACCTTTTTATATAAAGTACCTCCCCAGGCATAGACTTAATCGTTTTCTATAGTAATTATTTTTTATTTTAATATGTTTTTATAATTCTGGAAAAATAAAAAATACCAGTTAATGCTAAAGTATGATAATCTCCGCACGCAACTTATAAAACTTTGATTCCCTTTAAAGCAGTCAAAATCTAAAATTTATTAATATTAGCCATAGTTAGATTTTCTAAACCTAATTTACCTATGTTTTATAGATAAAATAAAATTATAAATAAGAAAAAACTAAATTCTTACCATGTAAAGCAGATCCGCAAACATATAAATCTCCGTTTGAAGAAACACATGAAGAATGATTTTAAGAAGTACTGATTTATTTGATATATATTTTTTCTAAATTTTTAGGATTTTCTGGTTTAGAGTAAAACTACTATTTGGTTTAACTAAAAGAAAGTTCTCCGTATTCGTTTTTTCCCCAAGCATATACATAACAATTTATTTATTGCTTGCTTTATTGTTAAAATTGATTTGGTGATTTTAAACTATCGTTAAATGTGGTTTTTTATTCTTCTTATTAACTTTATGTATAAGGGTTGCTGTCTTCTAATAAATATTCATCCTTACTAAATTAATAGTCTATTAAATAATTTTAGTTTTGATTCATTTAATCTGTTTCTTATTTTCTAATTAATTTTTTTATAAATAAAATATTTAGAGTTTTCTATTATTAAATTTGTTTGCATATTTTATAAAATTTAAAATATTAAATAAATTATTTAAATTTATTTTTAAATATTTTTTTTATTATGTTTTGTATGTTTTTATAAAATTTATATAAAATTAAAAAAGTCAATTTAGTATATAAATGAATTAAAATATAAAAATCATAGTAAATATATAAAAATAATAAAATAGTATTTAAATAAAATAATTAAAGCCTTATGAAAACAAATTAAAAAAATAAAACCTTAAAAATAATAAATAACAAACTGATTTTTTTTAAATAAAAATGCAAAAATCATATTTTATTTTTTTATCAAATAGCTCATTTCTTTCTAACAACACCAATAGTAACTCCGTGACGCCCAGTTGTTTTGGTATGTTAACCTCTAACTTTAAGTCCCCAGAAATGTCTAAGACCTCTATGTGATTTGATTTTTTTCAATCTTTCTAAATCTTCTCTGATTTTAGTATCAAGTGTATTAGAAGCTAATTAATAATTTTTACCGTCTTTAAAATCGTTGATTCTGTTAAGCAACCAAAGTGGAATTCCGAAAGATTCAGGATCGCTAATTACTTATGTAATTTTATTACATTGGTCTTCTGTCAATGTTCCTGCTCTGGAATTGGGATCTATTTTTAATACTTTGCATATTAAGTGAGCAAATCTTCTACCAATACCTCTAATTCCAGTTAATGCAATAGGGGTTCTTCTTTTACCATCAATATTTGTGTTTAAAATACGATGGATATATTTGAAGTCAGATTCTTTTTCAATGATGAAACTCATTTTCTCCTTTTTTTTATACTTATTATTTTTATTTTAAATAGAAATATTATATCTTCTTTTTTTTTATTTTTTTATTTTATTAAATTTATCTTTTACTAAAATTAATTAATTTAATACCAACTTTTATGATATACATATTATTATTATTTTTATTAATAAAAATAAAATACATCTAATTTTTATAATTAATGTTTTATATAAATAATTAATTAAATTCTTTTAAAATTAACCAAATTTTAGGCTTAGATAGTTAACATTATTAAAGATTAAAGTATAGTATTTATCATAATCAAATTTAAAATTAAAACAATATATTTAAACTTTTAATATTTTAAAGTTTAGGCAATTCAAATAAAATAAATCTAAATTTTTAATATTTAAAAACTAAAGTAATAGTTTTATTAATTTCATATTATTCTATATAAATTAGGAAATTATAATTTATTTAAGTCCATTTATTTACATATTTTTATTATATTTATAAAGAATTATCATCGAATTAATACTATTTTTATTTATAATATCAAATTATTAAAATTTTAAATTTTTATGTTAAATTAGTTTAACTATATTTATATTTTTAAAATAATTTTTTTATTTTAATATCAACATATCATTAAATATTAATTTTAGAAAATTACATTATATTTAATTTAAATATTTTTTCCATTTTGTCTTTTTTGTTTATTTTGTATTTTTTCGTAAAATTTCAATTAAAACGCTGTAAAAAATAGATATTTTCGTTTTTTATTGTTTTATTAAGATTTTAATAAAATATTATAGTATAAATTAAAAAAATATGAAAAAATAATATATTTTTCATTTAAATATAAATTAAAAAGAGTTTCATTTTAATATTTCCATAAATCCAAAGCTAAATATTTTACAAGTTGAAATATTTTTTTATATAAAAAAATTAAAAATAAAGTATTTAACTTAAAACAAATAAAAAATTATATTTAAATTTATTATTTTAGATTTAGTTTTTTTTTTATTCTTTTTTTACTTATTATCTGCCGATTTAATTTCAAAAAAATCCTCAAATAGATTTTTATAAATATTTGTATATATATAATTTTGTGATTTTAGTTTAAATATATATTAAATATCAAAAATAGTTCAAATGAATTTAAAATAAAAAATAAACTATAAAATAGGCAAATATATAATTATTATACACATTTAATATAATATATAATCCTTGTTATAGAAATTTTATAAACCCAGTTTCTAAACCAGTTCATGAATACCTGTGAAATTAGTGCCCGTTAAAATTAATTTCTTATACCAAAAAAACATTTTAAAAAATATTTAGTCAATCTATATTATTTTCGAGCTCCTGAAAATAAATAAACCTGATAATTTTTTTATTACTTTTATTTAATATTATTTTAGGAAAATTTTATTTTTATTTATTTTTTTAATTAATTTTATTTTATTAATCAAATCATTCTAATATTTTTAAGTATAATTAGAATTTAATTTCTAATATTTAACTATTTATTATTTTTTATTTCGTTTATAATATATATGTAAATATATATTTTATTGCTTTTATAATTATATTATCTTTTTAAAAAACTAATTTATTAATATTAATTTTATTTTAAAATTTTGAAAAAAAGTATTAAATTAAAAAATTATTAATATTAAAAAATAAAAAAAGTTAATAGAGTTTTTTTATGTCAATTGATTTTTTAAAAAAATTACTGAAAAAAATAATATAGATAAGAAATATAAAATATAATAGAAATTCTTAAATTTAAATATGATATTTAATTACAATATTTATATAATTAAAATAAAATATATGTAATTAGAATATATATATAACATTACAAAAGTTAAGTTCTTTTATAATTTTGCACATGATTATAATTTTTATATTATAAGTTAAAAATAAATATTTAGAACAATGAAATTTTTACTTTTTTAAAAACAAAATGATATATTAAATTTATTATAAATTGTAGAAAATGTTATAATATATATTTTTTTAATTATACTGATTTTTTATGATATGAAGTTAATATTATAATTTTTTATTTAATTTCGGTTTTTCAATTATTCAAACGCTTCCTGTAATTAAAAAAGGCTTCGACAATTGTATTAATAAAAAAATAAATAATAGAAAAATTTATATTTTTTAAAAATTAAAATCAACTATTATATAATTAATAACTTTTCATTAACAGAGTTTTATTAAGATTATTATAATTCAAATTCAAAGTAATCAAAATTTATATTTGAGTAAGGATCTATAAATAATGGGAATTTATAGAATAATGTAATTTATTAAATAACATATAATTACAAACATTAAACGCTATATAATATGCTAAAAGAGAATAATTTTTTACAGTACTAATCGAAGTGCAATCCAAAAAAGAAATGATTAGCACCTTATTTATCACACGCTCTAAAAAATAAAATAAATAAAAATAGATATGCTTGTCATAAATAAAGTTTTAATAATTTTTCATTTATTATTGTTTACTTTTTTTTATTCATAAAATGCATAAATATTTAAATAGCAGTCAATATTTTTATATTATTTAATTTTTTTTTTTTAATATAAAAAATTAAGTTTACTTACCCATATTGATTTTTTTATCTTTTTGTATTTTTTTTTTTAACTAGGCTTTCAAAAAAAATATAATAATTAAAAGATTAATATAACATATTAAGAAACTAATATATCTAACTTAATGTATATTGTTGTTTCTCTGATGTATACGAATTCCGTATTTTTATTTATTGCCTTATATTGTGCCCTATTTTTACTATTATTTTTTGCAGAATATTTATAAATATTATATTTTTATTTTATATATATAAATATGCCATATGATTTAAATTTATTATTAAAAATTTAGAACTCATTTAATTATTTATAAAATTAGTTTTATAAAACACAACACACTAATTATATGCAAAATAATTTTAAATTTATTATATTTATAAAATAAGTTTAAAAAAATACTATTTTATTTATTTTATAGTTAAATTAATTTATATTAAAAATAAAATATAATTATAAATTAAAAGTTTAGATATTAAATTTTATAATATATATTTATTAAAATTAAAATAATTAACCATTTTTATAAATTTTATATAAAAATTATATACTATATTTTAAATAATTAAAGTATATTTTTATTATTTTATTGTATTATATGTTTAAAATTTTAATTATGTTTTCTTACAATATTACTGATAGCTTATAATTATCTTATTTCTTAATATATATAAATTTTATTGTGACCTTATTTACTATAAAAGAAATTCGTTGCCTTATTTTGGTATATATTTTTCTTCATTAGCCTAAAAGTCTAGCCCTTTTTTATTAGGCAGCAATAGGAAAAAATAAAATAATATAAGAATATTATAAATCTTTTAAAAAATATTATTGTTTACTTTATTTATAAGTAAATTTATAACTTAATATTATATTTTAAGAATTAAAAAAAATTATATATTTCGTAAGAAAACAAATAATATAATTATAATTTTACAAATTTAGATTTTTTTTATTTGTAAAGTTAATGTTTATATAATTAATATTTTTTTTATTTTCTTAAAATTAAAGAATATTTTAATTTTGTATATATTTAAATTATTTTGATCATTCTTAGAAAGTTACTCTTTTCTTTTTTTATATTAATTATTATTGTTATTAATTATCTTCTTTTTTTTTAATTTATTACTTCTATTATTATTATCCTAATTATTTATATTATTAATTATTATTACTATTATTTTATTATATTTTTTTTTCGTTTTTTTATTTTTTCTTTGATTTTTGTGTATTAATAATAAATTATTTATTTTCATTTTCGTCATCACCAATAATTTTTACCTTAATTTTTTTATTTTTTTAAATTTTTTTAGTTTTATAATCTAAATTCTTTTTATTTTGAATTTTTTCTTCATCTTGGTTTTCTTATTTTAATTATTATTACTTGCTTGATTTTTCAGGAACTAGATCCATATAAATAGCCAAACAATTTAATCTATTTAAAGTTTCTACTTTGTAAATAGGCTTAACATCTTTTAATTCTTAATTTTGAGTAATTTCATTAAACTCTTTAAATATTATAAGAGAATCAAAAAAACATATTTCTCCATTAGTAGAAATGGAAATAATTATATCCATTTAGTCAATTTATGCAATTTTAAGTTTTTTAACTCTACTTTAGTGAGCTTTTAAACTAATAAATTTTTAAGTTTTAAGATCCCAAATAAAAATATATCCGTTATTATCTAAGAATAAGAATAAAAGATATTTTTTAAAAAAAATTACCTCCAATTAAAACATATTTATTGTTGTATACACAAAAATCATTTATAGTAACAGGATCTTCTTATTTTAATTAAAATAATTATTTATTTGTTTATTAATCAATAACATATAAAGCTTAATCGGACATAGTTAATATATATTCATTATTAATTTCAACTCTATAAGCATCTAAAAAAGTAAAATAATCATAAACGATTAAAAAAAAAAATACTATATTTTAAGTTCATAGAATAAGCTTTTGTTCCATTTAAAAGATTCCAAATAAACAATTTCTAATCTTTCGAAATCGAAACTAATATTTTCCCAGATTCATGTACTGCTATATCATTTACTTATGATTTATGTTCTTTTAATCTATGTAAAAGGGCGAATTCTTTCATTTTCCATACCATTATAAATCCATCTTCTCCGCTACTAAATGCTATTGATTTGTGGCATTTTAAACTTGTTATTGTACCTGTATGACCTTCCAATATACCACATTCTCTCTATCTTTTTAAATCATAAATTCTCAAATACTCATCAAATCCACCTACTATTAAATATTTATTTGTTATGTCCATTGATTTTAATGAATTCTTTTGTTTTTTTATATTATTTTTTTATTTTCTTTATTTTACTGTTGATGGCTTGAAAGCATATTTCAAAGTCAAATTTGTTAAATCTCCTCCTAAACCTAAAATTGCACCTTCATATGTGCCACAGAATATTGTAAATTTTTAATGTTAGTTTGTATTTGCCTTTGATTCTTAGTTAATATTTTAATTTTCGTTTAACATTTTTTATTATTTAACTTTTTAATAGTTTTAGACTTTTTTTAATTTAATTATTATTTTAGTTTAAATTCTGGTTTTATCAATTCTAAATTAAAATATTTATTTTATAAAAAAAATATAAATATTTTAATTATAAGAATATAATTGAAGATATTTATATTTATCATTTCAATATTTATTAAAATTTTATCAAATATACTTAAAAATATAATAAGAAATTTTAAAATAAATAAAAAAAAGCTTATTTAAAAATTGAAATCTTTATTCATATATAAACTCTATTAAATTTGCTAATATTATATAAATATATACACATACAAATAATTTTATATTTAAAAAAAAAATTTAATTGAAATTTTAATATAAAAGATAGAAAATTTATATATACCATAAAGGGATATTGCATGTTAATAATATAGCTTTTTTATATGATAATTGTTAGTATAAATAATAGTAATTTAAATTATAAATTTTTATATTTTATATTTTTATTTTCTTATTTTTAAAAAGAAACACAAAATTAATATTAAAATTTAATTAATAAATATCAAATTTATATTTTTTTATTAAATATAAATAGAATTTATCTTATAAATGTTTTAATGAAGATTTATTTTCAAAAAAGTGAAAAAGCGTTTAATTTAAAATATATTTTTATTTATCCTATTTTTATAAAAAACTAACTAATATAAATAAAATAAAAAAATATTTATTTAATTAAAAAAGGTTTATAATTTAAATTTTTTAAAAAAAAAAACAAGCATGATAATCCCTAATTATTACGCAAATTTAAAGAAAAAACACGAGCTTCTTCTTCTTTAATAGCGCAAATAATAAGAAAAATTAAGAAAAGATCGAATAATGCGTTTGATTTAATATTTTATAGTTCCATTTATACTATTAATATACCAAACAATATTCATCTAATCATATTTTACCCCATTTTACGTATTATTTTTTATTTTGAATATTAATTTTACATTCGAAGGAACATATAATATCTAATAAATACCTCAAGAAAAACACCCATTTTTATAAGACTAAAATTTTAAATTCAAATAAAAAAATTATAGATAATATTTATGGATACTTTTACTATTTATTTCTGTATTAATGATAACTTTTAAATTTTTTATATTTATTAAAAGTAGCTTACATCCTTAATATGTAGGTTTTGTTTTAAATTTTGAACTTTAAACAGTATAAGATATGGAAATATTTATTATTTTGGAAAATAATTACACTAATATTAGCAAAATGTTTCTTCCTAATTTTTTAATTATTATAAATGCGATTTTGGTTTTAAATAATCCTTATTAATGTGAAGAATTAACCTTTATTTAGTTAAAAAAAGACAATAAAAAATATATTATGATAACTAGTTTAATTATATGGTCATGTTTAATCTTTATATAAGCTTTTAATATCAGTTTAGGATGCTTTTTGATAGAAATAATGCTTTTATTTGATTTATTTGCTTGCTTTTGGGGAAAATTTGTAGTTATTAGTAAAAGAATAATGAAGTTTTATATATTTTTAGTAGTATTTTTAGAATTTTTACTTAATTCAGCAAGTTTAAAAGAAACAAAGAAATTTTATTGGTTTTCTTATGAAGAATTAGGGTTACATAGTATTATAAATTTGAATGAAAACGGAAGATATGTAATTCATTTATTTCTTTAGTGTATTTTATTAATGAGTTTGTTTATATTTATAGATTTAAAGAATATTTAAATACTAAAAGAAATCTTTTTAGGAGGTGAAGAAAAAAAGACAATAGAAATGAAAGAAATTATTAGAAAAAGCGATGAATAAAAATAAAAAAAAAATGATGAAGACGAAGAAGATGAAGAAGAAGAAGAAGAAATGTATTTATTTTATACAAATGACATCTAAAATACATAAAATCTTAATTTTAAATTTGGAAGAAACGAGTAAATGGTAATAACTAATAATGATAAAAAAGTTCAAGAAACAAATAAAAAGGAAAAATTTAAATAACAATTATAAAATTTAATAAGAAATTTAAAAATAACTTTTGATAATTTTTTTTTTTCATTTAAAAGTGACAATTTTACAGCTCGCTTTTTACAAATTGCATCCATTTTTATTGTCTAAAGATATCCTTCATTTTTTTCTTTATATATTATTTTATGGATTATCTTTTGTGGGTTTACTATTTAAAGTAAGTGGGTTAAAATTAGCTCTCTTTTTATATCTGTCCCTGGAATTATTTTAAATTATGTAATGTTAATTTGGAATTATGTTTTTATTTCGAAAGATCAAGATTTTAAAAGTCATTTATGGATTGATATTATTGCTCTAAATATTATTTTGATGCTTTTTCTTTATTTTTCTAAAGGAGTTTTGTTCTAGAATCCATAACAATAAGCATCTGTTTTTGGAGAATATAATAATAAATTAGACTATAATGGAGAAGATGATGATAAAAATTAAGACGAAGATCAAAAAGTAAGCTATTGGCAAATATTCTAAGCATTTTTTTTAAAAAATGCTTATTTGTTTTCACTTTTTATGATATATTGGATTGGATTTTATGATATTAATTTCATACATTTAGGTTTTACTGCGATTTTCCTTATTTTTTTTGCAAATAATAGTACATATATTAAAAATAATAAATAAAAGAATTAATAAATATAAGAATCTTTTCTTGTAAAGAAAATTAAGTTTGGAAGGAAATATTGGATTTTTGTAGTTATTTATGTTGATATTTATATCATTTTAAAATATTTTATTTATTTAATTATTGATAAATTAGATAGAGATACTATTTAATTACTTAATATGATTGGATTAGTTTGTGATTATGAATTTTCTATTCATTTCGGATTAACAAAAGATGATTTTGCAAATATTTCAATTATTTGGATGTTATTTCTGTTTGTAATTTTTTAATATAATTCTTATAAAAGTAGTATTTATTTAAAATATTCGAGTAGGATTGTATAATTATTTGCTAAAAAAAAACTGATTTAATAATTATTTCCTAATTTTCTTTAACTTATTTAAACGTATTTTTTAATATATATATAAAAAAACCAAAAATTAAAAAAAAGACTACATATGTTCTTTTATACTTTATTAGTTTGGCTTTCTTTTATTATTATAATGTGTTTTCTTATCTTAGATGAATTTTCTTTAATTAATCTTTATTTAATTACTTTTATTATATCATTAATTATTTATTATGTTATAAAATCAACCAACTTTTAACTTAATTATGTATTTTATTCTCGTCTTTGGTATTTCTTTACTACAGTAAAAAATAAAAAAAATAAAAAATAAAAAAAATAAAAAAAGAGTTTAATAATTGTACAATTCATTCGTTATTTTTTCTAATTAACTGGTTTAGAATATATAAAAAATCATATAATAAATTAAGAAAATGAATATTTTAAGCTTTTTTAGAAATATCGAGTACTTTATGGTTTATTTGAAGATTTTAAAAATAAAAATTTACGATCAAAATTCATATCTGATATAATAATATTATTATTTTCTGTTCTTTCCTAAGATTACTTTCGCATAGTAACAGAAGGATATAAATTAAACAAAAAAAAAGAAAATTAAATATAAACAAGCTAATAATAAACGACAAATTCAAGAAGGCCTTTTCAATAATTAAGTTCGTCAATTTTAGGAATTTAAGGAGATGGAAACCAAAATGAAATATAAAAATATAATGAGAGAATTACATAAAGAAGACAAACGAAAAGAATTAGTACAATAGTTATACAAACTCATTATTAATAAAATAAATATACTTTTAATAGTTTACCAAATAGAAATAATAGTAATAATAGTAACAACCCTATTAAAAAAGATAAAGAAATATAAAGTAATTATGAAAAAATGAAAGAATTATAAATTTTATAGATTTACTAATAATATGTACTTGGGGATGCTTTAGAAAATCACAAAATACTTAGGAGCATTATAAATTTAATTTCAAAATTTTTTACTGACTTTTTATGTTTGATAGTTCTTATTTTTGCTGTTTAGTTTAAAATTTCGATTTCAATGCTTCTTTTTTTGCTTATTTATATGCTTTTTTACCACAAAACACATTCAGCAGCTTTACAACACATAGAAAATAATAAACTATATGATAAAATATCCAAAAGAATGATTTATTATAAAAGCATGTTCATGAATATTAATTCAGATGTATAATAATAAAGAATTGATAATATTTTAAATACAGCACAAAAAGAAAATAAAGAACTTCATTAATAAATTAACAGTTTTGAATTTGTAAATTTACAAACTAAAGTAATAATCAAAAATAAAGTTTGGATATATTCGTTTGTAGGAAGTATTGTATGTATAGCAATTACTTATTTATCTTCTTCTTTATTAACTAATGTTGCTAATGAAAACTTTCCGAATGCATCTCTGTGGATTTAGTGGGTTTTATTTATTTTTGGATTGTAAATTACAGAATTTAATGATGTTAACAATACCTTTAGAAATATTTATTTTTATGTTTTAATATTTTGGTTAAATATTGCAGATCTTAAGTGCTTAAATTTTCTTGAAGAAAAACTTCTTAATAAAGATCAAAATGAAGGAACTGAATTTTTGGAATTATAATAAATAGATAAATAAAAAGAAAATATTAAATTTATAAGTAAATATTATTAATATATTAAATATAATTAATAAATTTAATTTATATTTAATAAGAAACCTATAGTATTATTTAAGAAAATGAAGAAAATGCATCTAAAACTTTTATTTAAAATATTTCTGATATGAATAATATTATGTTTTTTTTTATAATCTTATATTTTAATATATATTTTATAGTTAAGATGAATACAATTTTGTTATTTCTAATGATTTCAATTAGATTTTAAATGATATGAATTTTAATTATTTTTAACTTAAATAAGAAAAAAAACAAAGGCTAAAACCTGTTAATGAAGCCAAGAAAACTACTTTAACAGCAACTCATGTATGTATATATTAAATATAAATTTAAAAAGAAAGTATTTTTTTGTTTTTTTAGGAAAATGAAATTAAAATAAATATTTTAAAATATTATAAAACAAAATAATCATATATTACTATGAGATTTATGTTCTCGACATTATTTTTAATCTAAAAATATTTGTTTTAATTTTATTATTTAATTCTAATGAACATTCAAATATTTTTAGTTGGATTTATCTTTTTGCTGCTGCATACTTTTGGATTGGCTCTAAAAAATCTTCAACTGTAAAAATATTTTTAAAATAAAATAAAAGTTATTTTAAAAAAGGTAAAAACATTAAATACTTGGTCTATCTATCTTGTTATTATATAATATTTATTCTTGCTAATGAACTTAAATGATAATACTTCACTTATTAAAATCCCAGAAAAATTATAAAAATTAAGTGGAATGAGTATAATAAATATTTATATTAATAATTACAAATTGGAAAATTATTTAGCATTTAGCAGTATTGGAGGAAGTGTTTTTATATTAAATGCAACTATTATATTTTTAATAGAAGCTTATTTCAATTATTTTATATAAATAGCTTAGTTTATTATTAAAAAAGTAAATAAAAGAATGATAAAATAAAAAAAGTAAGAATTTGTATATTACAAAATTTTCATAAATTATAAAAAATGGAAAAATGTAATTTACTAAATGCATTAATCTATTTATGAAGGTAACAAAAAATAACATATTAACATTTTTTTAAAAAACTATATTTTTAATAAAAATATTAAAGAAAATTATAAAAAATAATTTAATATTTATATTTAATAAAAAAGGAATTTTAGTTAATTTTCATTTATTAACGCTTATAATTTGCTTATTTATATGTTGTTCAAGTTTTCATGTATTTAATTTAATAATGTTCATGGTTTGCTTAGGTTATTTTTTATACTTTGAATTTTTTATAGATTGGCCTTTAAGTTTAGAACAAAGGGAAAGTATTTTATACTTTTTTAAAATTTTAAGAATATATACATTTATAATATTGATAATTTTCACTATATTAAAAATTCCTTATATTGATGATTATTTTTTGATTAAAGCAAAAGTAGAAGATTTTAATTACATTAATAAATATATATATTTTATAAGAAATTAAGTAATGTTATTTAAAATAAGTGAAATAATTTTCATGCTTTTTTTTATTTAAATTGTTTTCGATATGCTTTATTCCTCTGATTATGAAGAATTATTACCTGTTTATAGCAAAAAATAAATATTTAAATCTAAATTGATTTGTAAATGTATAGCATATAGATTTAATAACTAAAAATTCAAAGCAATTGAATAAAATTTATAGAATGTAAAATAAAAAGTAAACAATTATAAATAAAAAATAAAAAATAGAATATAGAATTAATAAAAATGTACAATAAGTATATGAATATTTAAATAGATGGCAAGCAATTATAGATGAAAACAATTAAAATAAAAATAATAATAATAATAATAATAATAATAATAATAATAATAATGATAATACTAAAAACAATAATAATGTTTCTTTTTAATTCAAAAATAGTTAACAAGATGAATAATCTATATAAAAGTAATAAGTTTTATAAAAATAAAAATAAAGAAATGCTGCAATATTCCAAGAATAGATTACCTTGTTTGATACAGGAATAAATAACAAATAAGAAGAAAATATTAAAAAAATATCTTTTACAAGAAATATTTGGTTAACTTTAATTACTTTTTTTAAAAAATATAATAATGATTTTTTGTTTTAAGATGAACTTAATTTAATGAATTTTATTATATAAAATAATCCATATTTAGTAGAATGTATAAAAATAGATATAAATTCATTAATATAAAATGACTTCGAAAATTTAGAGGTAGTATTATCTTTTTTAGATTAATTATTTGACAAAATTTACAATTAAATAAGGCTTAACTCTTCTACAGAAGTTCTTAAAGGCCCTAAATTGAAGAAATATTTATAAATGTAGACTGCTAAATCTCCATAATTATATTTATTATTTTAAATAATTTAAAATAATAATTCCATGTCTGAAGAAGATATTGCTTAATATAAATAAAGTTCTAAAATATACCAAAATTTGGAAGGCATAAAACTTTAAGATGAAAGATTCGATTTCTTTAATGTTAACAAGTAAAAAAATTAAAATAAAATTAAAATAAAATAAATATTTTAATAAAAGTGAAAAATAAAATTATGAAAGAGTAAAAACAAATGAAATATTTATAGATTTTTGCGTTTATTTTGTTTAATTTATAATTTCTAATTGGAATTATATTTGTATGTTTTTTTTTATTTTTTATTATTATAATAATGATGGATTAACTTCTTTATTATTTCCAATATTCGTATTTTTATATTTTATGATAGAAGAATAAATAGGAGATATATTTTATTGGAGATTATGTTTTATATATGTAACATTATTAATATTATTGAAGTTTATTATGAGTTTAAATGGATTATTTGTAGATAAATAGATATATAATAAAAATTGTATTTTCGATAGTCCTAATTCTTTATCATATGAGGCGATTTTATTTTTTCTTATATATTCATAAATAATGATGTTAAAAAAAATGGGGCTCTAAAAAATAACAGTATAATAAGAAGAAAATATACATATGGCTTATATAAGAAGAATTGTTAATTAATTTATTGGGTTTGATGATAATAATATTTATTTAAGTCTTGAAAAATATAAAGGAAAGTTATAAAGAAACTAATCGTCTTATTTTGTTCTTTTATAAGGAGCATTACCCTCTTCCTTATTACAATTAAGATAGTAAATATAAATTGATAATAGACTTATTTCTTAGTAAGATCTTTTAATGTTAAGTTAAAAATATTAAAAATCTAAACTTAATATAAGCGATGAAAGTATCCAAAACTTTGATGATTAAGTAGAACATTAGTGTTCAGAAGGCGTAAAATTTTCAAATTCTAAAAACAATTTTGAATTTTCATATTCAGCTTTCGAGGATTTTTACGAAAAACTTGATTAAGAAATATAATAGTATCCTATGTTAATTGATTAAGTTAAAAAATTAAGTTTCTTTAATCGAACATTTTCCTAATTTACAAAAAAATAAGGATACGATATGTATCCATTTATAGCTCTTATATAAGTAGTGATTTTAATTTATATATTTGTATTTTATTCTAACATTGATGAGGGAAAAAAAGAAATTGAATCTACAGAATCTTAAATGTAATATAATTAATTTTCTGGAAAAATGATTATAGTACTCTTTACACATATTGCTTTTATGGTTTTTGAAAGGTTTATTACACTTTATTCCTCTGAAGACATTCATGATTTTGAATTGGAAAAGATTAAAAGTAATGCTTAGATAAAGCTTAATTAGAATTTAAGCCCTTTCAAAAATAAAACGATTAGCATTAGAGAGTAAATTAAAAATTCTGAAAAATGTAGTAAAGATAATAAAAATATTAATAGTGAATTTTAAAGTAGTGATGATGATTAGCAAGATGATATAAATTTTTAATAATCAAGTAAAAGTAATAATTAAAAATCACTTGATTAAAATAATAAAAATGCTAGTGATTAAGATGTAAATTAATTAAATAATAATTCTGATTAAGACAAAAGTAAATTTAAAGTTTATAAATTTAGTTAGATCATTATCAAATATATTTAAATGACAATTAATATAATAATCTTTATATGGTTTGTTTATTTTTTTATCCCTAAACCTTTTTTAAAATTGGATGTAATTTAAAATTAAATATAAAACATATATATATTATTATATTCATATAAAAAAAGAATGGTGAAATTAGTTTTTCTCATTATGAAACTAATAGCTATTTAGCAGGATTTTTTTACTTATATTGTTTTTATTTAATGTTGTCAGCTTTATAAATAAAATACGGTTATTGCTAATATAAAATAAGAAATACTCTTTTGTACATAAAAGTAAAAAAAAAAGTATAATTTATATAAATAAAATAAAAATAGAATCCGTTAGCAGGAATATGTGCAACAATATTCAGATCTATTCCATTTATATAAGAACTAAAGGTAGTAATGGATTGGACATTTTCACCTACAACTTTAGATTTATATTAATGGTTTAAACTAGAAGACATACATTATAGTTTATTTTATGCATAATTAAACAGTAGAGTTTAATAATTAAAAACTGTAGGTCTTAATGTTATGTGGTATATGAAACTTTCCATGGGTTGGCTATTTTTAATAATTATTTTATTATTACTATTTGGACCTATGATATTATTTTCATCATTAAATCCTACCTAAAAGCTTAATAATATGGCAAATGCTCATTTTGAAATCGGAATATAATTTAATGGGATAAAAGGAAGCTATTATTCTTTATATAAAAATAATAATATTGCAAATTTAACTAATGTTCCTGTTTCAAAAAGAGGTAAATTTATTGAATTCTCATAAATTTTAGAGTCTGAAGAAGCTTAATTTTAATAATTCTAGCTTTATGCCTATAGTGATAGCAATTGGGATGCTTCTATTCCTATAAAAAAATAAATCACTGATATGTTAAATAATGCTGTGTAATAAAATTAACCAATTTAAATATAATTCAAGGTTACTTACCAGATTATTAGAACTGTAAATATATATTATCATATATATAAAAAAAATATATAAAAAAGATTAACGATTTAAACTCTTAGCCAAATTTTTTTTTTTATCCAATAAATTTGAATAATTTAAACGATTAAAATACTTCTTTGTCCATTGAACAAATATAATAGCTTGATAAAACTTTGAAAGACTGTAATGGTGAAGGGATATATTTACCTAATTTTCATATAAGTGTAAAATATATTAAAAACATTTTTTAATGATAAAAAAAATATAATTAACTTTTTTAAAATTTAAGCTTCTTCGCTTATTAACAATAGGTAATACTTATTTAGCTAAACCTTTTGATAATTTATCAGCTGAATAATAATAGAAATATACAAAAGATGCTCATTTAAATTTAAAATGCAAATTAGATAATGAAAGTTAAAAATTTGATAATAATATATAATATTGGATATTAACTGAAAGTAAATAAGAATATAAAAATAAAAATCATGATGAATTTAATGATGGAATTAAATTTTATATTTTAAGTGATAAATATTCTTCAGCTTTATTAGGTTTTTCTATTATAACTATTTATACTTCTGTTATTTTGGTAATTGGTAAAGTTATTAAATCCGTATTTAGTGGAAATATTGATATGTTAATGTACTCTGAATAACCATTTCCTGATAAATTAATTAAAGTTTGTGAAGCTATAGGATATTCTAGAACTAAAAGAGATTTAATCAAGTATTTTTATTTATTTTTTATAAATTATTTTTTAAATAATTAACTAGAGAAAATTTGCTTTATTATGAACTAATTGATTTATTAAGATCTCCTGAAATTATTAAAATGCTTACTGGATCTTATTCAAAAATGATAAAAGATTAAAGAAAAAAATGGCTTGAAAATGAAGAAAATTTAGAAATTTTAAGATTGAAAAAGAAATAATAATGAAAAAAATAAAATATATATATAATTTTAGAAAATATAAAAAAATTGTATGTTTTTATGATTATGTAATCACTTTATACTATTTTCTTAATTTCAAGAGGAAAGCTTAATTAACTTTTTATATTATATTTTTTTTTTTTTTTTACAAAATATATTATATATATATAATAAAGTTTTTTAAAAATATTTTTCATTTTTTGTTTCCTTTCATTTTTTAAGATTTTTTGGTGATCCTGGATGTTAAGAAGGACTACTAGATTTTTGACCGTTTATATTAGTTGCAATAACATTTTTATTAGCTAAAAAATTATATCCATACTTAGGCACTTGATATGTTTTCGTAGGAGAATTTGATATATTGTTGAAAATATTTTAAAATTACATTTATTAATTATTTTAGATTTTCGGAGAAGAAATATTAGTAGGTTTTTAAGAAAATTATTGATTTTATTATAAAAAATTTATGTTTTTAACTGTATAAGTTTTAACACTTTCTTCCTGCTTTTATTATAAATTTTTGTTTTAATTATTATTTTTTTCTAACAAAGAATATGGTAAAGGTGACACATTTTAATATCTTCCTTACTTTTTTATTATTTAATTATTTTTATAAATACTTTATGTTTACTTGATATTATTTTGGTGAATTCATTTTTGTATTTTATAAAGTATCTAATGCAACTCTTAATGGGCTTGAGGAATTTTCATGTTATCTATTATATTCATATCCGAAAAAATTCCTATTTAATTGAATATTTCCACTGTTCTTTTTCCCTTAATTATTTTAAATTTCCCAAGGATCTCCTTGATCTTCAAATTTGTCGAAATTACTAGGATCATCTATGCTCTTAACCTTTTGATTTTTATTTTTGTTTCTTTATAATAAAAAAAAGAACTTCAGGGATGTATGGAGCCTTTTTTTCTCTGATTTTTTTCCAATTTATGCCTTCAAAAAAAGGATGTATTTTAATTTCAGTAGCTCCGTTCCTACCTAATCTTTCTTAAGAATCTGCAATAAGTTTTCTTATTAAATCTTAGGCAGCAATAGATAAATTAGCTTCAGCAGGTATTGAAAATATTTTTTTCCATTAAATAATTTTCTAACAAGTTATAGGAGGATCATCACTATAAAACGGTGGATATCCGACTAGCATTTCAAATAGTATTATACCTAAACTCCACCAATCAACTGTTTCTGTATATCCACTTTAACCAAAGACTTCTGGAGCAATATAATCAGGAGTACCAACAGTAGAGAAAGCAAGCTTTTAGTTAATGTATATATAATATATATGAGTAAATATAATAAAAAAATAAACATGTCTATTTTTTTTATAATTAAGAGGTCTTTTTGTTAATAATAAATTTGGATTAGCTTTTATTGCATCTTGATCAAGCTCTTCTTTTTTCCCGAAAGTTATTAAAGGTCTAATTTCTGTTTATTTACATAAACCAAAATCTGAAAGTTTTATATGTCCATCTGCTCCTATTAAAATATTATCAGGTTTAAGGTCTCTATGAATATAATTCATTTTATGTACGGATTCTATTGCTAATAATATTTCAGCTATGTAAAATTTTGCTTCTTCTTCTGTTAAAATGTCTTTCTTTATAAGAACATTCATTAAATCTATATATGTTTTTATTAAATATATATTTATTAATATAAAAACCCCCTCCTGGCATATAATCCATAACTAAATAGAGATATTTATCATCTTAAAAAGATTATTTTAATTCTATTATCCATGGATTACCTGATGTTGATAATACATCTCTTTCAGACCTTATATGTCCTATTTAAGCTTTCGAACTCATGTCTTATTTTTTCATTCTTTTTATTGCAACTATTTCTTATGTTTGCTTATCTCGACAAATTCTTACTTCACCAAAAGCTCCTCTACCTATTATTGTTAATGGCTCATAATCCTTAGTAGATTTTTTTGATCGACTTAATTTTTTTTATGTAAAAAAAATATTTTGTTTTGTTTTTCTTTGTTTTTACAATTTTCTTAAATGTTCACCTTCTTTTTAAATTATATTATGTTTTATTATCATTTACTCTTAGGGAGTAAATTACATTTCTTACATTTTTTTATATAATTCATTCCAATATTCTTTGTTTTCAATTTCTTTTTATAACATTTTTGCATACTTTTCTTTTTTATTTTATTTTTTATTAATTTAATATTCTATTTTTATTTTTTTAGTTTTTATTTACTCTCTATATATAATTTTGCTGCTTCTGCGCGATCTTTTGTAGCAGCTGTTATTCTAACATTATTCTTTTTTTCAATTTCTTTTTAATCTGTTACTTATTATTGGTTTTCATTTTAATTCATTTTTTATATAGTTTATTTTTTGAAAAAAAAAAAATTAAATAATTATGTTGTTATAATATTAAATACAAAAAAAATATTAATTTTTTTTTAATTTTTTTCCTTTTTATTTTTAATAATTCAATTTTTTAAAAATTATTTTCTTTTCCATTTTATATATTAAAAATTATAAATATTATAATCTATCATATATTATTAACTGATTATTTTAAAATGGTTTAAAATTTAAAAAAATATTATATAAAATAAGGCAAAAAGTTATTACAACAGGTTAATTTTTAAAATATTTGTTGGCTTATGGCTTTTTATTAAAAAAAATAATAATAGATGAATTCAATAAAAAATTTAAAAAACCTTAAAATTAAAAAAAATTAAGATTTTATTAAATAAATAAATTTTTTACTATAAATTTCTTAAAAATAATTTATTTTTATTTTTAATTTTTTTTTATAATATTTTATTGTAAATAAAAAAATATTGTATAAATGCATAGAAAATAGTTTCATAGGATTATAATTTTTTTGACGGAGTTAAATTTAATATTTAAAATTTTAAAATAAAATAGTCATGATAAAAAATTTATAATTCGTATCCTATATTAAAAAGAATTATAAATATAAAAATAAATTGTGTCACAATTAACTAATTTATATAAAATAAAAAATCATAAACTATATTTATTTATTTACTGTATATGAGTGATCAGCAAAATAATAAGAGAAAAAAAAAATTAATTTAAACAAATAATATATATAAATATCTATTTTCATAAAAATAAAATGTATATATAATGTAAATTTAATATATAAAAGAATTATTAAAGATTTAAATAAAGTAATAAAAAAAGTAATAAAGATATATATATAAATATATAAAAATATATAATATATAAAAATATAAAAATAAAAATAAAAAAATATATATATAATATATTCATATATATATAAATATAATATATATAAAATATTTTTATTAAATTTTATAAATAATTTGATTATTCAAATATTTATTTTTTTGCTTTAATTTCAAATATTTTTTATATATTTATTTAATTATTTTATATCTTTTGTTTATTTTTATATTAATTTTTCATAATATTTTGTAGATAAAATTAAATTAAATATTAAATATTTTTTTTTTTTTAAATTTATTTATATTTAAAAGGTATTATATTTTTTTTAATAAAATTAATTTAATATAACAATTATTTTAATACTATCATAATTATTTAAAATATTATTAAGAGAGATTTTTTTTAAATAAATAAAACAATATATTGATAAAAATTAATATGTAAGAATATTTCAAATCATAGTAAAATATTTCAATTTTGAAATTTTTTATTGCTAAATTAAAAATTTTAATTTTTATATTTTATAATAACTATAAATTTTGATTTTTCTATAAATATTATAATTTAAAAAATCAATTATTCAGTATAAAGTATAAGTATATAGAAATATATTTCTATAAAATATTTATACAATAAATAAGAAGTAGGTAAAAAAATTCATAATAGTAAAAGATAAAATGTAAAAAGAAAGAAAATAATGGGCAATTCTTGCTATATTTCAAAATTCAGAAAAGAAACATCTTCCATCGAAATATCCATTATATTAAGGATCAAATATAATAGGAAATAATAAAAACATATGTGATATATATTTAAACATTCCAAATTTATCTGAAATGCATGCCGAAATTCTAATAACACCTGAAGGTGATGCTCTTTTAGCTGATTTAAATAGCAAAGAAGGAGTATTTAGAAAAGCTTCTTTAAGCGATAGAAAGATATAATTAAGTGAAAATATTCCTTGTATTATATATCCTGACCATGAATTTTATATAGGAAAATATAAAAGTTATATTGTAATTTGTGAAAATGATTATTTTCGTCAATAAAAATAAGAAGAAAAAAAATAATGTTCTACATAATAATTAGTTTCAACAGATTTAGATGAAGATCAAAATAAAAAAGATTATAAAAATGAAAAAATATTGCTTTAAAAAAATGATTATGAAAGTACACTTTTTGTTGATGATTTAAGTGAAAAAAATTAATAAGAAAATCACAAAAACATAAATAGAGAAGATTTTGCGCCTACAATAGATTTAAATAATGAAAGTAGTAATACAGAATAATTAGAAGATTAATAAATTTCAAAAGAAAATTCTTAAAAATAAAGTAATTAAATAAATAAAAATAACGAAAATGAAAAAAAAGATTAAAAATAAATAAAAAACTCTTTATGTCCTACTTTAATATCAAACTCTTTGGAATAAACATTAATAGAAGAAGAATAATAATAAAAAAGAACAAGAACAAGAACAAGTACAAGAAAAAAATTAGGAACAAAATCTAGGGCAATTATATTATAAAAAAAAGAATAAGAAATATCATAAAAAATAACTTCTGATTAATTACAAAATAAATAAACAAAATAAAATGAAAATTATATAGAAAGAAGATAAAATATATGTATTTAAAACAATTATATATAAAGGATGAAAAGTATGAACTAAAAGGACAATTTAAATATTGAAAAACTTGAATTTTTCGATGATTTGTTTGGATCATAATAAATAAATAATAATTTTGGATTTGATTAAATAAAAAAATAAATAAAAAGAACTTAAACCTACGAAATATTTAAATAAGAAGAAGAAAATAATAATGAAAATAAAAATTCTTAAATTTAAAAAAAAATAAAAATAGATTAAAATGAAAATAATAATAATAATAATAATAATAATAATAATAATAATAATAATAATTATAATAATAATAATAATAAAAATAAAAATAATAGTAATAGTAATAGTAATAGTAATAATAAATAAGATAATAATTCATATTTAGAAAGTAATCTTTAGAATGAAAAAATAGTATATAGAAAAAAAGTCCCTATTAAAACTTAATGGGACGTTTTGAAAAAAATGAATTCTAAAAATTTTATTTTTGCAGATAAATTTGAACTTGATTAATCTAAAATTGATAAATTAGAAAAAATAGGACTTTTTTTAAATGAAAAAAACTTTGACTTTTTAATTATTACTGATTAAATATAAATTTCACCAAAAATTTGTCTTTCTATTATGTAGGATAAGCCAATTTATAATTTAAAATGGCTCAATGATGTTATCCTCTATGAAAAAATTATTACAGACGAAAAAGATGAATATTTTCCTCAAAATTATTAAGCATTTTAGCTTTTAGAAATGAAACAATTACGAAAAAGTTTAGGAAATTCAGATATTTTCTTAGGATATACCTTTTTTTTGAGCCCCAACATTAATAACTAAGAAATATAACAAATTGTTTAAGAAGGAAAAGGCTAATTAATATATAAAAAACCATTAATAACTACTAAAAAGTAAAAAAACAGTTTTAGTATTAAATTAATATGACTTAGAATTATATAACATCTATTAAAAGTCAAAAATTTTTATATGTAATTAAGATTTTTTAGTCGAATCAGCTATTTGGAGTAGATTTAATCCAAACGAAAGTATTATTAATAATAATTATTTTTTTAAATGAAAAAAAATCAATATAATAAATATATTTATATATATATATTTTTTTTTGTAACTTTTCATATTTTTTCAACTATTAATGCTGTCATATCCTTTAAATCAGATTCTTACAAAGTTTAATTTAAACTTTTATAATAAATACATGGAAAGTTTTATTTTAATTAAAAGATATAATCTTCTTTTTAATTTATTTTTACGAAATCATATAAATCCTATTATAAATATTCAAATTAAAAAAAAAAAAAATATATATAAAAATAAATTAAATAATAAACATATATTTATTACCCTAATTTAATCTTATTGATTGAAAGTCCAATCTTTTTTAAATCCTTCTGTAAACCTAAATTATAAAGTAATCCCTTGCTCAGGTCTTTTTTCGAATTTTTATTCGAGAGACATTTTAAGAACAAACAGAAGTTCAGGATCTTCTTAATTAACAGCAAATTAGCTGAAATATTCTTCCAAAGGTTCATCTTTCTTTTACTATTATTAAATTAAAGAATGACCTTATCCTTAAAAAGCAATAAATTTATTGCTTTCTTCTTATTCCTTTTATTTACTTTCATAATCATCATCCTCTTATTCCATTTTCTATTTCTATTAATTATCCTAAGTATATTATTTCATAGACTTTTTAATAGCCCTTTCAAGATCTCTTTCATCTGTACCTCCAATATTAAGTTTATAATTTTTATCTTTATCTTTAATTCTTTATTAGTGAATTTATTTTAATTCACTCTCAATAAACCATTTTTAGAAAGGCTATAATTAAGGAAAAAGCTTTTTTATTAAATATATATAATATTCTTTTTTTTTTAAATAGAAAATTATACACTTTAATCATTATTTGGATAATCTCCTCTTACAACAAAAATTGAATAGCCATTTTCCTTCACTGACAATAAAAAAGCACTTAAATAAAATTCAGATATTATTTCTGGTCCAAATTAATTTGTTGAATTTAAATTATACCAAATATTATTTACTTTTCTTATTGCAAACCAATGGTTAGCGGAATTACATATAAATCCTTATTCTGAACTTAGATCTTATGCCTTATTAATTTATGAATCTACGCTTTCTATTATTAAATTTCCCATTTTTTACAAAGCTTATTATAATACCTATATAGAATAGTTTCCATCATCTCCTACATTTTATGAACCTTACTAATATATTTTTTTTTTTTTATTAATTAGTTTTGTAATTTACTTATAAATATTATAAATATTCTTAACTATCCTCACCCTATTAAATCATTAATAATTTCTCTTGTTCATCTAATTCGCGAGCTATAGAAGCTAGTTCTATCTATTTTTTTATTTTTATTTTATTAAAATATTATTATAACTTCATTAAAAAATGGGCCTTATAATAACGAGTTTATGCAATGAACACCACATAACATATCCATTCCTTAGTTCTCCCAATATATTTATTAATTATTCTTTTACATGATTTTTTTTTTATTTTAATTATATTTAAAAATTTGGAAAATATTTATGTATCTTTATATAAAAAAAAAAAAAATATTTATTATTTTTATAAATTTAAAATATAATAATTATAATAAAACATAATAAATCTTATATTTATTTAATAAATAGAAAATATTTATAATGAAATAATACAATCTATTCTTAATTTTTTCATAAAATTAAAAAAAAAATATATATGTATAATTTTAAAATAATATAATAATTATATTTAATTGTAAAATATATTTTATCATTTTTATTTATTAAAAAATACTTCACTATATTATTTAACATATTTTGTTTATTATTTTAAATTAAAATCATTAGATAATACATTTTTAATGCATTTAATATTATTAAAAATTATTTTTGTAAATTACTTTTAATATTTTTTTAGAAATCGCATTAATCATTATTTTATAAAAATTATTAACTTTATTATTAATTATTATTTATTCCCTTATTATTAGAAAGGCTTTATTAATTAAAAAAAGATATGTTATCTTATTTTTAATAAAAAAAGATATATTTTTTTATTAATCTTTGTTTTAATTTAAATTATTAATATTATTAGAAACAGCTTTTAATTAAGAATTATTATTTTAACTATTTTCTTGATTTGTATTATTAAAATTAAAATATTACTATTCAAGTAATCTTTATAAATTTTATTTATTATTATTTTTTAAATTATTTTATGAACTACTAGTGCTATTAACAGTAACTACTGTACATATTAAATTACTATTATTATTATTAGGAATATTAATATTACTAATATTATTATTACTAATATTATTAATACTAATATTATTTTTATTATTAATAATATTATTACAAATATTATTAGAGGTAATATTATTATTACTAAAATTTTTATTATAATTATATAATTTTTAATTATAAATATTATCAATTTTATTATTATTATTATTATTATTATTATTATTATTATTATTATTATTATTATTATTATTATTATAATTATTATTATTAATATTTTTAATACCATTTTTATTTATATTAGAATTATTTTTTTTTTTATTAGAATCATTTATTTAATTTTTATTTTTTATTTAATTTTATCTCATTATATTAATATCTTTTTTTTACTGATTTCTACATGAATAAATTTGTATATTTTCATTAGTTATATTACTTTTTAAATTTTTTTTTTTTATGAGTTATTAGATTATATTTAAATATTTTTTTCATTTTAACTTTTATTCCTCATTTAATAACAATTTTACTGTTAATTTGGTTTAATTAAGTATTATTAATATTTATTTTTTTCAATAGAAGAAATTTTCTCAGTCTTTTCATCATATTTGGTCAGTTTATTACTTATTTTTTATTATTGTTTTATTTTTTAATAAAGATTTTTATTTTTACTTATATTATTATTATTTTCTGTATTATTTATTATTATATTACTTATTTCTTTTATAGATTTTTACAATAGTTTTTTTTGTTTATTTCAAGAATTTTATTTACGTTTATCACATTTTAAAATTATTTTTTACTATTATTTTATTATTAATTTTTTATATTCAATTAATTTTATGAATTTAATTTTTCATTTTAAATAAGTTTTAAATCTGAAAAACTTTTGGAGTTTTCAATGTTTAAATTTTAGGAATTATGAAATCGAATATCATTTGTTTATTGTTATTTTTATTATTATTATAAAATATTTATTTTTATGTTTTATTGAGAAGTGCAGTATTTAAAATCTTTAGTTTTTATATTTTAATCATTTAAATTATAAAAATAAACATTTTATAAAGAATTTATAGATGATTCGCTTTCAAATGATTTATTATTATCGTTTTTTGGAAAACAATAATTTTTATTTATTTAAGATTTTTAAAATCTTCTTTCGATTTCTAATTTGAAATTTTCTACTTATGTATATTATTCTTTTTATTAGAATTAGTGCTGATCTTATTGATATTTGATATTTGTTTGTATTATTTACTTTTGCTTTTTTAATATTTTTTATAAATTTTCATTTATCGTACTATTGTTTTTTTCAAACTTTACTTAAGGAGATGAACTTTTAGATGTTTTTATGTGTTTTTTAAAATTTTAATTATTCATTTATTTATTTTTTCTTTTTTTAAAAAAATTAGAAGATTTTAATTTGAATACTATTTATTCTTTAAATAAAGTATTTTTAAAAAATTAAAAATAGTATATATATTATTAATTAATAAATTTATTATTATATTTATATGTATTTTATATGTTATAATATATATTTAATTTTTTGAATATTAAAATTAATTAAAATGAGTTGTGAATTATAAAAAGAACATAAAAAATATTTACAATGTTAATTTTCTATTCCAATTAAAACTTTTGATAATTCAGTTGATTATATTACATATGAAGATACCTTAGTAATATAAAAAAATTTATCCTAGTTTTCTAATATAATAAAAATTATTTAAAAAAATTAAATAATAATATAATAATATTTTAAAATAAGACAAACTTTTCTGATAATGATGAAGTTAAACAAATTTTAGACGATTATTAATACGAATTAGAGGAAAATAACATTTTTAGTCTTTAAACTTAGTCTTCTTTTAGGCTTTCTAAAAGTTATCATATTAAATATTCAATAGGAAAAGGTTTTTTATAAAAATTATCTATAGTTAATAATTAAAAATTTATTTAAAATAATAAACAGAAACAAAATTTAAACAAATAAATAATATTAGATAATTTCCTTAAATAAATAATTTAATAAATAAAGGTATTATAAAAATAGAAATAAAAATAATTTAAAAAAAAGATGATTTTAATAAAATAATGAATAGTGGATTTTTAATATTTAATAAAAATTAGCATTATTGTATTTTAGAAGAAAGAAAATTAATATTATATGAATCAAAAGATAAGAAAAATCTTATTTTATGCTTAAATTTTGAAATAATATAGTTAAATGCTTAAGTATAAATAAAAATATATATAATAAACTATTTTTTAATAATACAAAAAAATAGTTATTTTATAGCAAAAACTATAAACCATATTTACTTCAAATAAGAGTAAAAGAATAAGATCTTTACTTTAATTTTACACATAAAAATAGTGAGGAATTACAAAATTGGTTTAAGATTATAAATTATTAAATTCATATTTCTCAAAGATATTCAAAGAAAGAAAAAAATCAAATTTTGTTAGAAACCAATTTTTATAAAGTAAAGTAATTTTAAAATAAATAGAATAAAATATATGTATGACTTTTTTGTTAAAAAAAAGAAAATAATAATCACAGAAGAAGAATTTCTTTTAAAATGTGACAATCTAGATATTGTTTTTTTTAAAGGAAAGACTTTAGGATCTTCTATAATTAGAGCAATAAGTGACAGTGATTATGACCATATAGCTTTAGTTTTGAGAGATTAAAATGATAAGACTTTTCTTTTGGAAGCAGGTTCAAATTTTGGAGTAAATATGTTTTCTTGGAAAAGATTTAAGGAATATAATTGGAAAGATTTTTATTGTTAAGTTATTTATAGAAAATTAATCTGTAGAAGAAGCTCTTAAATGTTAAAAGATTTAGAAATATTCATAAAATCAGCTATTGGAAAAAGATATGAATTATCATTTTCAAAATTATTTAGGAAAAAAAGCTTTATTAATAAAGTAGAAGTTGATGATAATCAAACATTCTTTTGCTCTGAATTGATCGCTGCAATTTACAAAAGGATGAAATTATTACCTAATGATATTTCCTCTTGTTAATATTGGCCAAGTATATTTATTATTTAAAAGATTCTAATTTTTTTTATTTTTATTTTTGTTTAGGGCACTTTACTTAAAAATGCTAAATTTAATTAATTAATGCAGAGTTTTAAGATGAATAACTTATTTTAATATGATTATTTGATATTTTTTAATATATTTTTAAAATAAATAGACTTTATTAATCTAATTATAATATTATATATTTTTTTTAAAATATAAATTAGTATTTGTTAATATATATATATATATATATATTAATTCCATTTTTGTTAATTTTTTTTTAAAAAAAAAATATAAGTTATAATATAATTAAATAGAATGAATAATTTTATTTTATTTATTTTTTAAATTATTTGTTATATATGTAATCTTTTAAAAAATTGTATAATATTTTGTTATTAAAACTTTATATAATTATTATCTTTATTTTTACTTATAAAAAAAGCTAATTAAAAAAATGGATTTATAAGATTAATAAAATATGAATAGTATATTTTTTTTTAAAAAAATATAAATATAAATTAAAATTTATATTTTTATTTTATTAAAATGAAAATAAATAATTTTAGTTGCCTTCCTTATGCATTTAAATAAACAAAAAATAAATTATTTATAAAATTGTTTAAATGATGATATTATACCAAACATTTAAATTACAAATACTTTTCGTAATTCAGAAATGGGTAAAAATATAATATTTTTCTAATATATAAAATTAATTAAGATCCTTAATGTTATTTTTAAATGAATCTTTCAGGATAAAATTTAAAAGATTCAGATATACTTCCTCTTATTAGAACAATATAAGTTATTATAAATATAAAATAAGTAAAAAAAAAATATATTTAAAAAGAATGAGAAACTTATAACTTCAATTGATTTAAGTTATAATAAATTAGAATAATTAGCTATATTTTTTGATATAATAAATGATGCGAATTCAATTCAAAAAATAAATTTATCTGGAAATCGTAAAAAAAAGATTTATAAAAAAATGACAAAAAAATAAAAAGTTTTTAATTAAAAGCATATCATAAAACTATAAGAATTTGCATAATAAATAAATAAGATAATATAAATAGAATTCGAAACATTAGAATACTCTAATTAGTAAAGCGAAAAAAGTACAAAAATGTCATTAAAAGAATAAGTATTAGAAAAAATAAACTAAGCAAAA